CTAATGTCTTTAAGTGCTACATTACTCAGATCTAGCTGGTAGGCTTTTACTTTTCCTGGATGGATTTTAACTAAATAGACTTTAGACATTTGGATATAGATAAATGCCTAATTCAGTAATTAGTATTTTAAAACTGTGAAACCTTTTAAGTTAAGTGGTCTATTAATTAACTACCAATTATCTTGTCTGACTACCATATCAATAGAGGTAAATTACCAACTAGCTATCTGACAGATTTAGTCCTTTACCATGTAAAATTTCTTCAGCATATAAAAGGCCTATAGTTAAATGCTCTGCTCATCCTCCCTCCCCCGCCCCCCACGCTCCCCCTCTTTGCACTTTTGGTTAATCAGGGATCAATTGGCTGCTTATTTATAGGGGCTAAATGCAGCTGTTTGGTTTAAAAGGATGCTCACCATAAACTTGGGTCTTTCAGAAATAACCAAGCTAAGATTCTACTCCCTTGTTGGAAAAATAACAAGTGAAGCAATGTAATATTTGGGGGAAAACAGGGAGTACAGTAGGGAGGCCAGCTTTCTATATTTCAAGTAGAATAGAGAGCTATTTCCAAGATTTTTGCACCTCAATGGGCTAGTCTTTTTGAATGATTTCTACACTTGCATTAAAGTGCATGGCATTACTTTCGTTCTCCACAGCCTTGTCTTGTGCTTTCCACAGCAGATCATGCTGACTAAATATACTCCAAACCCCACTTTTTTTTTTTTGGGGGGGGGGGGTCCAGTCGTGGGGCCTGAACTCTGGGCCTGGGCACTGTCCCTCAGCTCTTCAGCTCAAGGCTAGCGCTCTTTCACTTGAGCCACAGCGCCACTTCTGGCTTTTTTTTTCTTTTTCCTTATGTGGTGCTGGGGAATCAAACCCAGGGCCTCATGTATGCAAGGCAAACGCTCTACCACTGAGCCACCTTCCCAGCCCCAAACCCCACTTTTTAACTGGTGCTTAAGAGAAAGTTACAGGGAGATGTGCCAGTGGTAGAACACTATAAGGTGTATTATGCCACATTGGAAAACTGTGACAAATAACGTGAGGATTATAAAAGCTTCTAAATGTTGTAGACATGGTATATAGCTAAGAAAGAAAGAAGGATTTATTTTAGGGTGCTCTTCTTGAAATCTTCTTGAGGAATAGGTCATTGGGGAAAATGAATAACCATTCATTCCATTTAAGTTTGATTCAAATTGGTATATCTTTAGCAGTTCTCTTAAAGTCCCTAGCCTCACATCAAAGAGTAGAATATACTCCTACAGGAAAAATGTAAGTTGGGTAAGAAACAAAAGGAGATACAAACAATAATAAAGTCACATTGCAAAGAATCAAACCTTTCTGAACTTGAGTTAGTCTAACATGATGCTAACCTTTTGAAAATTTACAACACAGAGCCATGTAGAGTACTCTGAACAGAATACTTTCTAAATATTTAAGCAGAAGCTAATTACATATTACTAACTAGCCTCTATTCTGTTTTAGGCAAGGAAAGCAAAAAGATGTACATAACAAACTGGCTTTAGTGAGCTTGCCATCTATGTTGGAGTGAAATACACAATATGAACAAAGTAATTCCAAAAAGAACATACTATGCACCAAAGGTTGAGAATGCCACCAGAGGCTGAAAAGAAAAATCATGGAAAACTTTCCACAAGTCTTACACAACTTCAAGTTCATTGGAAAACAAGAGGCTAGATTAGAGGATGGCTTGATGGTAGAGTATCCTGTCTACCATATACTTGGCCTTGGGTTCAATCTCTAGCAGAGGAAAAGAAAACTTAAAGAAAAGAAGGAAAGAAAAGTAGGGGTTTGGATGAGATAGTTGCTAGGAACCTTTGACGCTCTAGTGGTACCCAAGAATGTCAGCAGGAGAGAAAGATTACATAAAGAATTTGAACTAGGTCTTAAAATCTACAGGAGTGGAGAAACAGCAAGTTCTAGGCAAGGGGAGTAGTATCAGGAATGGCTTGAAAGTGGGGGCATCCATGGCTTTTCAGTGGAAGTCACATGGTTTCCTATTTCACATGAAAATGCCTTTCACTCTGAGTCAGGATCAACGTACTACTTGTTCATCTATGAAAACAGACATTAACTGCTACTTAAAAATCTCCTTAAGATGACCCGTTCAAATAACTGAATGAGCTCTTTGCCCAAATGATCTAGTTTTAAAATTCTATGGAGCAACTTGTTTTCCATACCCAGACACTCATTAATTTTTCTGGAAGGAAAATGGCACAAATCAAGGCCCATACATCTTGAAGAAGAAAAAAATATCACTACCTACTTATTCACCTAAAAGTACTACTGGAAGGGAAACAATTTATGTGGCTCTCAATGATACTATGTTGCCCTCCCATCCCATCATTGTAAGAATGATAAATTTAGTTGCCAAATTTCAGCTTCTCCAAAAGTTTGTCTCAGCAAGAAGTCACAAATGCCAACACTAAAATGAATTTTCTGACTCAATATTGAAAATAAATTCTTAAGTTTAGATGTTTAGGGGAAAAACAGCTGGAGAATTCAGGAGCCTCCCATATTTTAATATGAAGTGACGTCATTACTGCCAAAGCATCCAAGAACTCCCTAAGCGGTGTGTTAAGCAACATCCCAAGGCACAGAGAAGACGCTAGGAAGGTGGGTGTTCTTGCTTGGTGTAAAGAGTCAGTTCCAGAATGACTTTTCTGTTAGCAATTTGAGTCCATTTCTTCTTAATGTTAGAAAGTAGCCCGATGTTAGTAGTAGAGTATATCGATTTATGTGTATTTCAAAATTGAGGCTATGGATTTTCTGCACTTAGCACAGTCTAAATTAGCACTTAAGAGTATATATAGAACGGGTAGGAAAGATATGCCGCTCTCCTATTATAAATATTTTAAATGAAGATTGTATGGAATTTCTTTAAAATCTAGATTTATTTGAAATTTCACAAGTTAGCAAAATATTCATGCAGAGGAATAGTCAAGATGGTGAAACTTCAGAGTATGCCGGAGGTAAAAGTTTATAGTTAGGAAACATTTCATCATTTCAGTCAAAGGTTATTTGGAAAAAAAAACAAAAACCCAAACCAGTTCCTGTGCTTAACCCAAACCAGTTCCTGTGCTTCACCCTAACCTAGGAAGGACTCTGTATCCTTTTAAGGTTGGTGAGTTCTCTGAAATCAACAGTTCTGTGGTAGCTCCATGCCTTCATCCTTACCTTCCTCCAACTTCGGAAACGACATTCCACCTGCAGTTTGTTTGCCTTTTCTTCAAATGGAGGCTATTGGTTTTATTCAGAATTATGAATGGCCCAAATTCTTGATAAATGATATTGTCAAGTGTATTTATTTGGCCTTTACCCACCTAAACCACGTTTGGCTACTTGCTACGTGTTCTTGTGAACATGACAACAGCGAGGAAAAAAAAAGTGGGTTCTCCACACCCACTGTACCCAAGGGACATGCACATACACCAGCATGCATACGCTCAGACAGGACATTTACATTCCCTCAGCTGTGCTTGGTGAGCTCCTGACCCATTTAAAACACAGACGCAAATTAGCCCAGGTTATTTATATTTCATTTGTAGAGGTTTAAAAATGAGTTCAATAAAGCTAACGTTTTAAACTAAAACATTAAAATTAGCTTCTTCCAGGATCACATAAAAACCATTATACTGGATAAGCAAAATTTGAATAAGGACTTAAAAGTTTTCAAGCTGTTGCTAGAAAATTAATAAGATTTAATGTGACCTATTTAGGAGAAATGGTTCTTTGTTGTGGTCTATTAGAAGAGTAATTTACATATGGAAAAAATAAATAAAACCGTATCTTCTTAAATTTTCTTTCTTCTTTTCCCCTGGTTGCTGACAATTAAACTCAGGTCTTGTGTTTGCCAAGCAAGCACTCTTCCCCTGAGCTGCACCTTGGCCATCCAGCCTTTCTCGTCTCTACTTTATTGGATACTACTTGTCTATAGAAGTAAATGGAAATTATTAGGGATAAAAGCTTATAGGAACCCAACAGTGTTCATTTATAAGAAAATACCTATCTATCTTTATAGAAGTTAATTAAGCTAATAAGTTGGAGTTACGGGGGCTGGGAAGGTGGCTCAGTGGTAGAGCGCTTGCCTTGCATGCCTGAGGCCCTGGGTTCGATTCCTCAGCACCATATAAGCAAAAAGAAAAAAGCCGGAAGTGGCACTGTGGCTCAAGTGGTAGAGCGCTAGCCTTGAGCTGAAGAGCTGAGGGACAGCGCCCAGGCCCAGAGTTCAGGTCCCACAACAGGACCCAAAAAATAAATAAGTTGGAGTTACCTTGCGCCTCCTAAGCAGAAGTCCTCTGCTCTCATTCCTAGATACTATGCGGTAGCTTCTCCTGACTAGATGCTAACATCACTGAAGTGCCTGATTTACCTTTTCTCACAAACTCCCTTCCCCTCTATGTGGTCCTAACAAAGTGACTTCTACTCTCATGAGAGGTTCGTTATAAGCTGAGTAAGTCCTGAGATATCCTCAATCAGGAAGATGCCATGCACCCTGTGGACCGACAGTGGATGTGAAGTAACTGCTGGGGTGGCCTGGCCACTCCCAGTGGACCACAAATGCTGATCTCAGAATCTTTGGCACTTCCTAAAATGTGGCTGAATAGTAATTTGGAAGCCTAAACCCTGGCTTTAGGAATTCATAAGAACAACCAATGTTTTATAAACTCAACAAAAAGTAAAATAAACAAACCCAGGGGTTTATACTCCCTCTTGTTATTTTTATGGCAATCTTTCAAACTACTTTACAATGTTCACTCTTCTAGTCTCTCAAGAAATACTGAATTGGGGGAAGGGGAAGAAAGCAACGTTTTAATAGTAACCGACATACGATGTAATTCACCATGAGGGAATAGCTCATTAGTAGACTATGGTGAGAGAGTGCAGGTGGCTTTCAGGCTGGCACTGAGGTCTTTCTCCTTCCCAACCTTCTCATAGAGGAGGGCCCAAGAATGAAAAACAAGGATGTTTATATTTACCCAGAAGTGAGCGTGGCAATTGACCATCATGGTTCTCTCAATGAGCTCATCAGGACATTCCAGAAGGTGATGTCCAGAGACCACACCAGCATTATTGACCAGGACTGAGACCTCACCAACCTCCTTGCGGACCCTTTCAGCCGTCAGGTAGACATTCTCCCTCTTGCCCACATCACAGGTGTAGGTAAAAACCTGCAGGTTACAGTGGGGCAGAATTTCTTCCTCACCATTCCCAGCTGTCCTCAGAAGTCCAGATGAGGCGAAAATGGAACAGAGAAGGGGTACAGAAAGTGAGTCCCATGGCAATCAGTAGGACAAAGATCACACAAAACAAAAACTCAACAGTGAGCTTCAAATTTCTAACACCATAATGCTTGCCAATAACTGCACTTACAGCTGCCTTCCTCCCCCCCAAAGTCTTTGGGAATTACAGCAATTTACTGGAGAACTTTGCTTAGGGGAAAGCCATGTCATTGTGACAAGCCCAAATACAAGTAGACCACATGGGATCAGCTTGCTGCAGCTAAAGACACCTGCACAGAATTGACCTCAGCCCAGAGAATAACACACATTACACATTTGGAGGAGAGGCCAGAAACATCCCTTAATAGAAACAGAAAATCACTTTAAGGCTCACAAATCAAAACTGTAAATAATAATTGGAATTCATCCAGGCCAATTAATGAATCTAAAGTTTCTTGTGAAAAAGTGGAGGTTGCTAGTATGTGCTTACTAGGTAGCCTTTAAAAAGTATCATCACAAATCAACTTCACTTTTACCATGCAGGAATTCAAACAGCTTAAAACCCCATATCTCTTCCTTGGAAAATGAACAGTGTTGTCTTTTAGGCTTTTGGGGGTTTGTTTTGTTTTGTTTTTTGCTATTTTTGCCTCTTCATGCTAGCAGTGTAACATTTTTTTCACCTTAAATCAAAAGGACAAGTGCCAATAAGTTTAGTAACAAATGATGGCTGTGGGGAGGAGTGATGTCCAAGGCAATCCTCACCTAGAGTTCAATATTTTCCCTGGAAATAAAAAATGCAGCCTCAAAGCAAGAGCCATTGTCAAATTTCCTGGACCAATATTGGTGACTGGTTAGTCTCCACTTGGGCTTAAGAAAAAGTCTCAGATTCCTGCTAGTTAATAAGTATACAAAAAAAAATGCAGATCGGAGGGACCAAAATCAAGGAAGAAGTTTACAATGGAGCTGAAATTCTCCAAGTTCTTTCTCAAGGGGCAGTTGCATCTCTCCGGGTCTGTAAGTCTAAAGCACTATGGCTGGTGAAACAAGGTAATTATATTCCCCTGGCTAAAGTTATATAGCTAAATTACCAACACTACTCTAGTCCAAGGGGATGCGGACTAGACTAGAACAGACACACCTTCAGTCCATCCCGGGACAAACTTCCCAGCAATTCTTTACTTTCCTATCTCCCACTGCAGGTCAGAGCTAGATAATTTCTTTAGAATCCAAGTCTGTGGTCACAATGACCTCAGGATTTAGGAAACCCAGAGATGTCCCCAGAGTGATAGGATCTCCGTTGGAGCTGGGTCTAATACCGGGGAGATCGTGTTCTTTAATCATGGGGCAAATTCCACTCGCCTTCCAGGAGACCAGAGGGGCGTTCTTTTCCTCGAGAGCTGGGGTGCCGGTGACAGTGGGGTGTGAAAGCCCTCCCCGGGTGGAGGGACAGGAGGCAAGGAGAGAGGTTTGACCCAACAATGCTCGGGCGCGGGATCGCGAGTTACCTTGCAGCGCGGCGGCATCGGCCGCCTCCAGGTCGCGGTAGATGTGGCGCACCATGCCCGCCGTCTCCTCGTTGCTCTGCGTGTTAATGTCCCAGAGCACCAGCAGCGCCCGGCGCCGGGCGAACTCCAGAGCAAAGAGGCGGCCCAGGCCGCTGCCCGCGCCGGTGATGAGGCACACCTGGCCGGCCACGCTCTTCTCCTTGGGCCGCACCAGCCAGCGCGCCGCGGCCAGCACGAACGCCCAGAGAACTTTGAAAGTGACCACGAAGAACTCCACCACGATGTTCATCGCGACGCCGGGGGCCCCGCACGAGCCCTGAGCCCGGGTCTGCACCCACCCTGCGCCGAAGCAGCCCTGTGGCGAGTCCTGGGACGCTTGTCAAAGCGGCTGGGACCAGAAGGTTGCACCCCGCGCCCGCTTCCGAGGTGCCCGTGGGGCTGGAGTGCGCGGCGCAGCTCCCGGGTCGCGCGCGGGGCCACTCCCGCCCCGAGCTCCGTGCGGTGGCCCCCGGGCTGTGCTCGCCGAGGCAGCCACCCGGCTCGGCGCCTCCTGCCGGCGGTCGCCCGCCTGTCCCGGAGCGCCCCGCTGGCCGGTTGCACTGCAGCGGCGGTGACAGCCGCGAGTTAGGCGACGCGCGCTGCCCTCATGGCCGAGCCGTCGCTGCTGCCCGAGTGTCCCCTCCCAAAACCGGCTGCAGCGGTTTCCTCTCACCCCCGGGGAGAGATGCGTGGAGGACACCGCACCGGCCGATCGGTAGCCGCTGGAGTTGTCAACTTGACCCAAGTTGAGACAGGGTGGGAGAAGGGGGTGCAGGGCAGCGGAACACCAGGAAGGGGCGCCTCGCACGGTGCAGGCGAGCGCTGCCCCACCGCTCGCAGCTGCTCCCGCGGTCTCGGCTTCCCCGGCCGTGCGCTCCCTGCGGCTGTCACTCCGGCACCGGGCTCCGGAGTGCAGCGCCGCCTGCAAGCCGGAGCGCTCCTGGCCAGGTCTGAGCGGGCTCCACGATCGGCGCTATATAAACGGCGATCGGGAAGAGCCGGCGGCGGCATCGGCATCGGCCCTCCCTCCGCTCGGCCCTCCCCGCCCCCGGGAGCACCCCGCCCCCGGCCCGGCCCCCCGCCCGCCAGGCCGCCGTCCGCACAGCCCTGGCGGGGCAAGCCCCTCGCTCCGGCCGCGGCCGCAGCCTCCCCCCCTCCCTCGTCACACCTCCCACCTCGGCTCACGCCCCCTGCCGTGGGTTGCCCCGGCCTCCGCCGGCCGGGCCCCGCGGCCCGCGGCGCACCAGCCATCCTCCTCGGGTCGTATAGTCCTCACTTTCCCCAGTCTCACCACTCGTGTTAGCTAGGGGACTCCGGACGGCCCCGCCTGCGATCAGGCGCTGCGGTAGACAGCCCTGCAGTCTAGGGAGAGGACTAGAAGGACTTCGGCCGCGCGGCCAAGGGGGGGCGTGGTTGTCTGTAACTACGGGTGGCGGGGAGCTGCGGAGATCTCCAGTCCACAGTGACTTGGAATAGCACGAGCCGCTCGGGACGGGGCCTCCCATGCTCTCGTTCTCCCTTCTGGATTCATGATCACTGTGGCTACCTAGAACCCGGGTCAGGCGTCGCCCTCCCTCCGGGCAGGCCATGGAATGGTGCATGCCGGGACTCGTAGTTCTCATCTGTGAGGCGTGTTATTTGGGTCAAGTGAAGAGTGAAGTTTAAACCTGAGGCAGGCAAAAGCAACAGATGAGGACCCCGAACGGAAAGGCGCAGCGCTCTTTGCTCTCGAATTGGTCAAAGGGCGTGATCGATGCATTTACCTTTCCTTATGCAAACCTGAAAGTTGGTTGGAAGAGATTAAACCAGGCAATTCCTAATTTTACGCCTGCGGAGTGGGCTCTTAGTTCAGGGTTTTGTCGGGTTTTTTTCTGGCATAACCTAAGACACCTATAAGTCATGGGGCTTCATTCTCGCAGTCTTTAAGTGGACAGTGCGCATGCGCCAACTTCCTCTTTTCCGGCTGGAACCATGGAGGGTGCCGAGTAAGTTCTTTCGCATCTTCCGCAGAATCCTTCTCCATCCCCGAAACCCGAGGCCTTTATCCTCATTTTTCCCCAAATTGACTGTAGCTAGTGCCTTTGTCCACTTGTCTGTGTGTTTGTGACGCCTTGTGACAGCTGTGGGACTCCAGGCTAGGATGCGAAGCGGCGGCCTTGGTGCTGTGGTTTGGGATCTTCCAGTAGCGAGATGTGAGGGCAGAAAAGCGTGTGGAACCCGACAGTCAGGTGGAGTTGAGCCTTCCGTGGAAGGTCTTTGCAGAGACTAGCAAGATGTCTGGGTCGAATTTGGCTGGCTAGCAGTGGGCCTTAATGTTTTTCCCGTCAGGCCAGTGCGTTGGGCATGTGCAGCTTAAGACCTAAACCAGGGTGGTGACTACTAGACGACAAACGGTCGCCTTTCGCTAGAAGCGTCATGTACCAATTGTTAGTGTATCTTGATATTTTGTGCTAGTCTAAGGGCGAGACTTATGGCCTGAATGGGTGTAAGCTTATTAATGTCGTGCGGGATGGCTAAGGGTGTGTTAAAGTGAAGGTTACTGCCAGATTATATCTGATCAGAGCAAATAAGTTCCAAATAGAGCCAATGACCCTAGGTATGTTAAACAATAACTGCTGAAAGTACTCAGTACAAGCACTAGGAGGTTTTTGAGTGAGTAACATGCTTGGTTTGCTAATGACAGAGAGAAGAAAAAGAAGGTTCCTGCTGTGCCAGAAACCCTTAAGAAAAAGCGAAGGAATTTCGCAGAGCTGAAAATAAAGCGCCTGAGAAAGAAATGTGCTCAGAAGATGGTAGGTAAACTTTGGAAGGACAGGGCATTGTGTTTGGTACTGCTAAGGAAGTGAATGTTCTCTGAGATTCTTTATGTCAGTATTTGTCAAACAAGTGGGAGGTGCTTCCTAACATAGCTTTCTCAAGCTAACATAGGTTGTTACTGCTTGGGGCTGGGAAGGTGGCTCAATGGTAGAGTGTTTGCCTTGCATGCATAAGGCCCTGGGTTCGATTCCTCAGCATCACATAAGCAAAAAACAAGCCGGAATTGGTAGAGTGCTAGCTTTGAGCTGAAGAGCTGAGGGACAGCACCCAGGCCCAGAGTTCAGGCCCCAAAACCAAAAAAAAAAAAAATGAAATGTTACTGCAGACTGGAGAGAAATTTACAAGGGAATTACTGCTTTTTTTTTTTCTTTTTTTTTGGAACTGATATGAGTTGTGTTTGGAACTAGAAAATCATGTATAACTGGTGCTTGGTTTTCAGCTTCGAAAGGCAAGGAGGAAGCTCATCTATGAGAAAGCTAAGCACTATCACAAAGAATACAGGCAAATGTACAGAACTGAGATCCGAATGGCTAGAATGGCCAGAAAAGCGGGCAACTTCTATGTACCTGCAGAACCTAAATTGGCATTTGTCATCAGAATCAGAGGGTAAGTTGTGACTGCTTTTTGTTTTTTTTTTTTTTTAAGGGAAAGCTACAAATCCCTAGAGGAACTGTTCCTTCTGGGAGTACTGAGTGGAGTAGCAATGCTTTAGATGTAGCTAGAAAGGGTTGGGGGTATCTTTAAGTGTGCTTAGTTGGCAGTCCCTAGTCCCATAACTATCCACTCTTAACTGAGGGGATGGGTCTAAGATTTTTGCTCAGGCCTAAGCCTGCTGCCTAGCTTTGTTGATAGATGGCACATTTAACCATTCATGGGTAAGGAGTTAAGATTGCAGGCCTGGTGTCCTTTTTCTAAGGGTTTGGTTTTAAGCTGCATCCACACTCCTAAGTGTCCTGGGAGTTGATTTCAGAAATGGTTATAACAAATATTTCATAAATGTGAGTGATGATAAGGAAGTCAGGACCTTTTATGTATTCAGCAGACTGAAGGAAAACAGTGGTTTAGGTCTTTGCAACATGAGACTTCCTGTCTATAAAAATTGATAAAGGCAGATTAATATTTTTGCTCCCTTTTCAATGCAGTATCAATGGTGTGAGCCCAAAAGTCCGTAAGGTGTTGCAGCTTCTTCGCCTTCGCCAGATCTTCAATGGTACCTTTGTTAAGCTCAATAAGGCTTCAATTAATATGCTGAGGATTGTGGAGCCATATATTGCGTGGGGGTGAGTCTCCTTTTTTTCCTTTGGTTCTGTTTATTAAATTATGTAGCAAGATGGTTTCAGGTGCTTTTGACACAATGACTATGTCTGTTTTTCATATTTAAGGTACCCAAACCTGAAGTCAGTAAATGAGCTCATCTACAAGCGTGGTTATGGCAAAATTAATAAGAAGCGAATTGCCTTAACAGATAATGCTTTGATTGCTCGATCTCTTGGTAAGTTGTTTGAGAGTGAGTGATAATTCCTGACTTTTTGAGGTCCTTTGTTTTGCCATTAGGAATCTTTATGTATTCCTAAAACTCCTGGAAAATCCGTTAAAATTCAGTGACAAACCTTTTAAAAGACTTTTGAGACTGTGTAATCTTGTATTTTACAGGTAAATATGGCATCATCTGCATGGAGGATCTGATTCATGAGATCTATACTGTTGGGAAACGCTTCAAGGAAGCAAATAACTTCCTGTGGCCCTTCAAGTTATCTTCTCCCAGAGGTGGCATGAAGAAGAAGACCACCCACTTTGTAGAAGGTGGAGATGCTGGCAACAGGGAGGATCAGATCAATAGGCTTATTAGAAGGATGAACTGAGGTGAGGCTCCATGCTAGATAAGTACTAGTAACAGTGTGGTCTTGAATATTTTTTCCATTAGTTGATTGGGGACTTCAGTGCCTTTTAATCAGTTTTCATTGGGGAAAAATCTGTCATACAAGATGTTACTTCCTTTTGAGGACTTTTTGGTTTGGAAGAAACATCTTTATTTAAATGGAAAAAGTGGTTTAGTGGTAGAGTGTTTGCCTAGCATGCACGAAGCCCTGAGTTCAGTTTCCTCAATGCCACATCAAAAAGGTAGGAAGTGGCACTGTGGCCAGGCCTTGAGCAAAAGAAGCTCAGGAACAGTGCTTAGGCCCTGAGTGTAAGCCCCAGGACTGGCAAAAAATTGCTTGCATTTTATAATTGATTTATGTTCATTTAAGCTGCTAGAATTTTTCTTTTAATAATTTTTTTTTTCCTTTCAGGTGTCTGCCAGCTATTTTTGTAATTGGGTCTGTTAATAAACAAGTGATGATGGCAAATTAAGATGTATTGGTGATTCTTTTATTAGCCTGCCTCTACTTCTCCTAACTGTGCTGGTAAATCTTAATGTCCAGATAATTTAAA